CATGGTTCACACTTGTAGAGATCAACCTCGGGGATAATGTCTAGATCTATCTTGAGCCCATGTATTTTGCGCTTGAGATAGTAATTCACCAGCTCTTCATCTGTGGGGTGGAATCGAAAACCAGGAGGTAACCCAACAGGCGCCATTTCTCTCTCTTCCTCTCTTTCAACCACCTCCTCCTCTCTTTCTTTCTCTTTTCCCCTCTCTTTCTTTCTCTAACTGTGATAATAGAGAGACCACCCTTTAATTTACGTGCAGAAAAGCTTCAAAGTTGGTCATCTTTGTGTTGTTTTCGACGTCTTCTTGGCCTTTCACTTTATTCCGATTGAAAACGTTATGTGCAAGCCCGGTGAGCACAGTAAATCCGGTTATGGAAGGGTTCGGAACTGCCGGAATCCGGTTTTCTTTTCCTGAAAGTTTAATCAGCTGATCTTTGTCTACATGATCTGACTTTTTTTTTTTTAGGTGAATCACATTAATCTGTGCAATTTCCTTGGGGTTTATTCTTCCTAGAAAAGGTTTGTTCATTAGTCCTTTAGTAAAAATCTCCAAACAATCTTGAGGTACTCGTTTTTCATACAAATGTGTGTAAAGGAAAAAATGTCTACATTGCCCCTAAGAGTGTGTTTCGTGCTTGTGTAGAAGGGGCTTTAAGACCTTCTGGTTATCTTTTATAAACCAAGAGAAACACTGTTTCCAGCCCTTTATTTCTGCATGGAATATTTTTTTGCCAAAATTATAACATGCAGCCCATCCCCTCGGCAGCTTTTTTTTCCCTTCATTTGCTCATATTGGACTTACATGTTTTCAATCTTTTCAATAGTGGGCATATACCGTGCTCCCACAGGAGCATATTGTGCATTTACTCCCTCGGTCAAAACACTTAGATACATTGATTTTTTTAGTCTAAAATTTTGGGAACCATATAGCAATTACCAGATGATTATTTAAAGAGAATTTCAAATATTGAGTTTTGTGACACAGATCTAGCCCTTCAATTTTTGGTTGGTGTCTATTCAATGTTGAGGCATTATGTTTTTTTTAGTACACAGAGAGTTCATTCCAAAAAGTTTTTTTGTGTAGAGACTATTCTATTCTACGAGTAGAGATTATATCCAAAAAATCTGAGATCAAAAAACTATCCCTAGCATGTATTTTACCCAAGGGAATAAATAGATAGTATAGACCTAAGGGATTAAATGGTTATTCTCTCTGTTCTTTAGTTCTCCTGGCCACTCTTCCTCAGGGGACTTGAGATTGCCGGACAAGTGGGCAATTAGGGAAAAAATAAAAGGGCTGCTGTGTCATTTAAAAAAAAGTGTGATTGTCTCAGTTGTTTTCCGAAAATCTTGACTCCGAAAAGGGTGTAGGTCAATTCATTGGAGTAGGATAAGTAAGAGCACGTTTGGTACATGCGAAAGTATTTTCAATTCTAAAAAATCCTCTTATATGTTTAGGCAGGCGTGGGAGTTTTTTCATATCAATTTACAGTTAATTGGTATAGAAAATGCCTTGGGACCAATAGGTGTAAAAAAACTCACCACACCTAATTATATAAGGAAGTATTTTCATACGTACCAAACGTGTTCTAAAAACAATGGTTTACAAAAGAAATTATAAGAACTTTTCAATTCATATGTAAGTAAACAAGCACTAGACTATCGTTAAGAACTTTTCATTTTAAAAATGAAACTCATTCTATAAATTAAAATCGATTAAGGCTACAATAATAAAGTATGCAAACAAACTTTTATGACAGGGCTTCGGAAGATTAATGCATGAGCAAAGCAAAATTGGAAGAGAGAATAATAGTAAAAGAGATGAATGGAGCTTGATTCAATGGAGTAATAGAGATTGAAGACTTGCATGTAATTATAATAAGATTTTTTAAATATTTTTTTTTTTGAGGAATGATATAATGCGGCTATATTTCATTTTCTTTAAAGAACGATCATGTTTAAGCAAACTATGCTGGTACAATAGTAAATGAATCATCACGAGGAATTTTGATAAATTTCCCTATTTTAAAAACACGAATTTGAAAAGCTTTTAGAAAACCAACTTCTTTGTTCAAAACAAACGCATTTTAAACTGACTATTCTCAATTCTCAGTGGACAAAAATAAAGATCGGATAAACCAGATACTCATATGCGACGTGATGTGCATGTTCGAATTTGTGTCATGGAAACCATCCGAGAAGAGTTCTCTCTCTCTTGATTAGTGCATGTGAGCAGGAGTCAAATGGATCCTCACAATAAGTATCCACCGATGAGAGAGAGAGAGAGAGAGGTTTTGGTATGTATTCGTGATACAGGAGAGAGGTTTTGGTACGTAAATTTATAATATGAATGAGAGAGAGATTGCTACAATGTCTTTTCATGCATGGAGAACAATCCACCAAAATACAGAAATTTTGTGTCTTGGGACTCATATGTAGATATCCCCTCTTGATGGTCCATTTTTTAGATGGATTTTAGATATACAATCTTTGACATGAAAATCATAAATGTGTAAAAGAAATTAAAATTAAAATAAAAAAAATACTTTTTTTTTTTTCTTGCAACGACCACAATTCCACATCCATCTCTAAAATAGATGTATGATGCACCGGGGGCACAAATATAGTTATGCATCCCGGACGATGCATCAACCACTTTTATTCTTTTTCCAAAAGACGGCTACTCTCTCCTTTTTATTAATGTATAAAATTGGGGAAAAGGAGGGTAAAACTAAAAAGAAAAGTTGTGAGCAACCTAAAATGAGAGGGGGATTAAACAGGTATCGCCGTGAAAGTTTATGGAGGGTGGTTTTCCGGCGTGGCTTTTGGCAGGGGCGGTAATGGTAAAGTGGTGGAAGTCTTCACCTGGAAGAGAAAACCGATGAGATTTGGTCCCCTTCCTTTTCTTTTCTTTGCATGTCTCTCTTTTTCCTTTCTCATATTCCACTCTTTTTACGTAAAAATTACAAAGTAAAAATTGGGTAATAATTGTGTCCATTGTAGCATGCGTTCACCGCCACTTTCTCTCTCATTTAAAATTGCAAAATGCCCTCATCTTCCTTTATTTTTATTTTTTTTTAACAAAAAAAGTGCCCTCGTGTTCTTAGCAATCTAACAAGTAGCAAAAATAATTACCCAAAAAACAAATAGCAAAAATAGAGGATGCCAAAAAATTGATACAAAAACCAAGGTTTGAGGAAAGGTTAGTGTAAGGTCTAAAGTCGCAGCTCAAATCTGTTTTGAAATTTGCGTTTCAGCATTGGTAAACATCAACTTTGTCATCCTTGAAAGTTATGATTATGGAAAAATAGATTTCACGCTCTTTAACCGGTGCATATTGTAGTAACATTAAAAATTAGGGAAATTAATCAGCATATAAAATATGAACTGTTTAGCATTTTACCCGTATGATTGATTTGATTTTAAAATACCCATCAAAATGTGCAAGATGAGTAGTTGAAATAGTGACAAATTTGTAAAATGTTAAATAGTGTATATATCCTAGGTATTTTGCTAAATTTTTTGAATTTAACGTATTATCTAGTTCATTTGAAGTGTTCTAAGATCCTATAGATCTATACCAACTACTGCTGGTGGGGTTTTGGGGTGCAACTTTATTTTTTTTAGCATAAAGTCTAAGACTTCCATTGACCATACTCTTTATGGCTGCAAAAATGGAATTTGCACTCTAAAAAATATGTAAAAAATTATCAACAATTTCATGATAATTTGTGCTTATGGCATTGTGCAAATGCTGCTCTCCAACAGTAAGCCAGTCGCTATTTGGTCATTTAAATTTTGTTGAGGATAATACAAGGGAACATTTTTGGTGGCGTGAATTATATTGTGAATAATTTTTGAGGAGTCAAGGGTTACCTATGAAGGGACTTGATTGCATGGTTTCATTCTACTATATTATAAATGAGACAAAAACGTTGGGGTGGATGCTTTTGTCTTCTTCTACTTTTGTAGCATGAGAAGATATAAAGACCAGGGAAAAGTAAACTATTCTCAACGATGGGATGTTACAAATGACAACAAGCACATGACTGCCTTCATGGCCTTTAACAATGAACATTTATCTTCAAAATGGGTGATTGTGAGAGTTTCATGGAATAGATTTAAAGTTTCGAAAAAAACTTCTCATATTTTTTACTCATTTCAAGCCATCCAATTAGACATCAAATGAGTTAGAATAATTATGAGCTCTATGTACAATATCATGGTGAATATTTATCCAATTTGACATCAAATGAGTTAGAATAATTATGAGCTCTATGTACAATATCATGATGAATGTTGCCGCCCACCCACCCAAAGACACACACACACAAACATAGGTTGTTTGGGATGTATTTGGGGTTAGGGCTTAGGCTGGCCCAAGCCTTAGACCTAGCCCCTAGGGGCCTTGGCTGGTCTGGACCAGGCCAAATAGGCCTTAACCAAGGAACGACTCTACTCTTGAGCTAGGTGACTAGTCTAGCCCTTCAATGGGAGCTGAGCGAGGCCAAGCTAGGCTAGTGGTTATCATTCCTTTTCTTAAAGGAAAGTATCTTGTCCACATCATGTGGATGGGTGGAAGAGTGCACAAGCATTAGTTGAGATCTCATATGGCAAAAAATTAGTCCTGTTTTTATGTTTTATTTAAATAAGACACTTATTTGAATTTTGGAGTATTTGTGTATTTTTATTAATGCAACTAAATAAAAATAATTAAACATTATTTTAAAAAAAAATAACCAAAAATGAAATGAAAACCCAAAATATCCAATTAATATAATTTTTAAATAAATAAATAAAAAAAACGAGATTCATTATTGGGCCTTGGATGAGCATGGTCCAATCAGATCCATCAAAAGGTGCATGTGCACTTTTTGAGCATCCACATGCTATTGACGCAATACCAACCCTTTCTAAAATAAGGGGAAAAAAAAAAAACAAATCTAGCATGTGATGGGCTAGGGCAAGGCCGGTAGACCAACCCTTGCAAATTTCTTTTATGTGCAAGAGGTTCTGACCTCACTCTACATTGCATTGCAATCCATTGTTGCCTAAAGCCGATGGCACTGAGAGGCACGTCTTAGGCTTTGTTTCTAATTTTCTTGGAATATACCTCTCATTTATCGGCGTTTAAGTAATGTGCTGGTAGCTCAGTGGTGCTTGCTTATGAAAAGTTGGAGCAAGTTCATATCTCA